TGATCTATAGAAAGAGGAAACAGCAGCTGTGGATCCAATTTGCTCTTTTTTCTGCCCGTATATTTCAGCTGCAGGTGACATAGTCGTTTTGGCAGCATGGTCTTAAGCTGTTGCAAACACAAAAATGAAATCACTTGGAATAAAAAATGTCATATTGAGGGGTTGGAAACCAACATGAAGCAGGACAGGGTGATTTTCGGGTTGTTTCTCAGATCAGCTTCAACTTACATTTCTCTGTCTCCTTAGTTAGAAAACGTTAGAAATGAGGAAAAGTCCGTGGGGCTGGGGGGCCGCAGCCCTGTTGTGACTTCCCTCCCACGTGCTTCTGGCTGAACTGAATTTGCTTGTGTCCTCCTGGGGGTGCCTCTCCCAGGGCCACCGGCTGTGCAGCATGGCAGCTCTGAACTCCACACCAAACCCGGGCGGGTGGAACCAACCAGTGTCCTGTCTGTGTGCTTTCCAGGGGGTGCAAGGCACGAGGGTGACTGGTTTCATCTGTGTGTGTAACTGGTTGTAACCCTGAAGCAGTGGGCCTTCCTGGATTAGGGGGACCCAGTGTGGAGGCTGAAGGATGTGTCTGGGTAAGTGAGGAACAAGGTCCTAGAAATGGCAGCTTGTGGGGTGGGAAAGTGGTGGGAGTCCTCGGCGCTCTGATTTCTCCCAGAGCCCGGCTTATGGGAGGCCGAGGCCTGGATTTTACAGGAGCACGAGGAGGAGTTAGGTGTGGGGCGACCTGTGTTGTGGGCGAGCAGCTGGTGTCACGTTCTGTGTTTCCTGCGCTCATGTTGTGTCCACAAACGACCCTCCACCCACCCCATCTTTAACAGTGGTTTCAAAGAAGGGCGTCGAGATGCCCAAATGCCACAAGAACAGTCTGAAGAGGAGTGACCAAGGACTAGCTCATGGGCTCCCGCTCATTTGCTGGTGTTGAGAATTTTATTTATTTATTTTTTTCCTTTTTGTCTTTTTTACTGACCGGTAGCGGGATCGCAACCCTCGGTGTCGTGCCCGTACCGGGGACCGGCAACGGGATCGCAACCCTCGGTGTCGCGCCCGTACCGCGCTCAGCCAGTGAGCGGGAACCGGTCTCCACATGGGATCCGAACCCTCGGCGGGAGCGCCGCTGTACTCCCAAACGACGCACTCTCCAGTGCGCCACCGGGCCGGCCCTGGTGTTGAGAATTTTAGCCATTGCGGGGAGAATCGTGAGCCGTGTCTTGACCCAGTGGGACGGCGTGGCCGCTCAATGCATGGCGGTCCCTTCTGTGGGAGTGGAATAAAGGCGTGGTGCTGAGTGCCTTCCTCGGGTTCACCACCGTTGAGCTTGGGAACCCCCTTTTGTCAAATTTGGATGGGGCATCACCTAGTTGAAGCTGCTGTCCTGCCCAGGTGACACCGTGAGACCCAGACAACCCAAGCACCTGGCCTGCGTCCATACTCCATGGCCTTAGCCCAGTTGGTCATCATCTCCCTCGTTAATCTTGATTCCTGCTTCTCACTGCTGCGAGGCCTCTCTGGCACGTCTGTCCCAGCCTCAGATCTGTACTTACTCCCCCCAGAGACGGCCTCTGACAGCTCCTGGGGACAGGGATCCTGCTATGGTCCAGCCTGCAGGCCTGGCACCAGGGAACTGGCCATAAGGAGGACTGTGAACGGGGTGTGTGACAGGACCTCATGCCCTGGCTGCAAGGGCAGAAGGACCCCATGCCCAGGCTGCAGGTCTGAGGAGGGTGACGGTGGCCTGGGGCTTCTCAGTGGACCCAGGACTTAAGGAGTGGAGTGAGGCTTGCAAGTGGGTTGCAAGCCCGTGTCTTTCATTTGTAGCTGTGTCACATTTTGATTTGCGAGTCCAGTGGCTTTTTGTCCCTCTAAAGTAGCAAGTGGGGGATTATGTGAAAGAAACAAGCTTAATCTAATAATATCTGATGTTAAAATATGAGTGAGAGACAAACCTATTCATTTCAGTGGAAAACAATCCTTGGTTGTAAGGCCAAACCAGGGTGTGTACAATGAATGTCATTAACGTGAGGATACTCAGGTGGCAGGGGACAGGGAATCATTCTGCGTCCAGGTATCCATTTTCATTTATTCAGAAAGCTCATTATTTTATTTTTTCATTCCCTTCCTTTTTTACAAAGGACTTTAGGCAGCTGACAGATCATTAGTTCCTTCATCGGTCATATTTAGTTTCTGCCCAGTATGATAAATTTAGTTTTAATTAAATTCATTTTCTCTTGCACTTCAGGGAACTGGTTTATTTGGGGTCAGAACTGAATCTCATTCTGGGCAAACTTGTGGCGAAATCTCTCAGATCCTCAATATTTTCATCTTCAGAAGGACCGGAATGAGTTTGATGATGTCTGATGTTCTTTTCACCTTGAAATTTTATTGTTCTAATTTTTTATAAAGAACACGTTATTTTAAAACTGATAGGAACAGTTGTGTTTTTTTCTTTTAAAGCCTCTTCAGATTTTTGTGTTTATGAACTGTGTCCATAAGTACAAACGTTGAGGGGCCTGAACTTGATGCTGGTGCTACAACACTGGGCTCTCCCCAGCTGAGCCAAACAGCCAGCCCTGAGCCTTGATCTCCGGGTGTGATTTTCCAGTTACTTCCTGAGACGTTTCCCCTGTGACAAGTGGAACTGTGAAAGCCATTTTCATGCAGCAGCCTGGAGCCCGTGCGGGCACGAGGCTCTGCGCCTGTGGTCCCTGGCACTCTCTCTCCGGAGAGGGCAGCCTGCCTGCTGCTGGGGCCGCTAACTTGTGCTCTGGTCAAGCGTTCTATAAACAGAGGCTCCTTGAGGACCTGAGGCTGAGAAGATCGTGGCACCCCACGCTCTGGGGTCCGTTCCATTCTCACGTGTCTCTGGTCTCCGGGTTGAAGGGGCTGTGCATTCCGGCTGTGAACAAGGGATCGTTCAGGTCCCACCTCGGGGTTAGCCCAAGTGCTTAAGGCCAGGCAGGGGCAGTGAAATCCAAGCCACAGACGTTCTCTCCCAGGACAAGCCAAACCATCTAGTTCACCTTGCATGTGTACAACTAACTGGTCCTAACTCAGTAATCTCCAGTCCTATCCATTAAACTTCTGAGTTTCCTGAGCTGTCTCCCCTCCTCGGTTCATTTTGCTGGATGCTGGAGTAGGGTCAGCGTGCCTGTACTGGTGATTGAAGAGAGAGTCTGCTCGAGCACCTTCAGGTCCACCCCCTTCCCAGTTGCTGTGGGCTCTTTCATCTCGTCTGCTGCCTTCTATAAGTCCTCACCAGTCTTTTTCCACTTCTCTCTCTCTCTAGTATACTGTGGTGGTCTGTTCACTGCTCAGTTAATTTATTCTCAGAGTTTGCCTCTGCCTGTTAGACCACCTTTGCTTGCATTGAATTGGACTGTAGTAAATAGGGTGGAGTTCACCTCGGCAGCCATGCCAGCACCAAGAGGTTAATGAATAGGACTGCGAGTGTGGTTGCTTGGGTGTTTCTTTTGCAGTAGAAGTAGACTGACAAGCCCAGCCGTGCTGGTGGGTGATGCTCCTAACACTGCATTTCAACTCTGTTGCTAATTGCTGAGGATTTTGTGCCGAGGGAATAATAACCATAGACCACTCCTCACCTCTAGGAGGCTAGTGTCTGTCCTCTCCAGAAGGCTGTAAAGCCCCGGACAACGTCAGTGGGCTGGGGGATCCTACCGCCTACTGAGAGTCTGATCAGCAAATGTGGATATTGGCCTAAGTCCGGTTTTCAGTTTTCCCATTGACGTAACAGACTTAATGGCAACATAACTCCAACATGATTCTTACATCCAGAAACTCTAGCTTGTTGAAAGGGACGTGGTTGACAACTACGATAAGCCTTAAGCTCTGTGTGAATCACATCCTTTCACATGCTTCCAAAATTGAAATGTGGACCGTCTTACCAAAATGATCAAAATACTGTTATTCGAAACTAGGCAAACATAGACTAGAATTCAACATCGTTCACCATCAGGATTTCCCTTTGGTAGGGGAGCCTGCTGGATAATGACCTTGGTTCCCACGTGCTGTGCCTAAGTGGCTTGGAGTCTGATAAATGGCCGTGATAAGCAGACAACAGACACCCTTGACTCCAGGGGTTCGGAGGTGCCGAGGCCCCCTCCAGTAGCCCCTTTGCCTGCACAGGTGCAAGGGGATAGACTTCCAGAGATGTACCCAGCGCTTCCCCGTTCATTAGTCTTCACACTTTCTCATACTTGTGATGTTCTTTGTTTCCAAATCATACACCTGACCCAAGCATGAGAGATTGAATCCAGTCCTCTTCATCGTGTGATTGTTTAACTTTTTTTTTTTTTTTT